CGAATCACAAATATTATTAAAAATAGAATGCCAAGTCTCAAAAGCTAAATTAGTATCAGTAATGTTGTGTACGGAAATTAGAGGCGTTTTCCGAAAGTCAGCCAAAAATAGAGACTCAACGAACACTTTGAAATTTCTATAACGAATAGAAACATGATTGTTTGATTGGGGGGGGGGGAACGGAGTTTGCGAACCACGAATATAGGGTTATGGTCCGAAATACCCAAGTTGTGAATGAGAGCCAATGCATTTGTAATTTGTTGATGTCATGTGGGATGTGTGCGTGGTGATACTTGCGACACAAATATGTGATGGTCTTCTGTTCCTTGTCTGAAACAAATCGGCACAGGGTCTGTACTGGTTTGTACTATTTGGAATGTGACCCATACAACACTTGAAAACCAATGTTTTATTGTACAGATTCTCAACCAGATGTGAACACCAAGACAATTTCTGTGCAGAATAACAGTAGACCTGAGTTGACTATGAACACTGATCTGAATCCAGTACAGTTAGCAATATGTTTATATTTATCACACATTTGCAAAATGCACAGAGTTTGTGATAACTGCTGTCATCATGTCAGGACTTAGTAGATTTACAAGAATTACCACCAGACTTAACTCACTTTTGTTTATATTAAAGGGCGGTGGTCGTCGCGCTGCTCATGTGCGACATTTGTGTTGGTAAACATTGATTTTCCCGCAATCCAATGCGCTTTTCTAATGAAAATCACAAGTGTGAGGTTTGACCTGGGTGCGACTTGCATTAATTACCGCCTGTGACTCCTTCGATACCTTCCAAACCTCTAAAAAATACCTAATTAAAGCTTGGTAATGTCTCAGTTTATACTCGTTGATCTGCGCAACAGCCAAAGTCGCCATCTTTGTTTATATAAGAGACCCATATATCTCGCGCATGCGTGGCGCGACGACTACCGCCCTTTAACCCTTGCCTTTAGGAGCCTCCGTTGGTTGATTACTTCAAGTTGTTTGGCAGCTCGAAGAACATCTCTAGCATAAATTTGGTTCCTCAGAGTTCATGGCAGAACTACCGGTAGTCTTATATTATCGAACATGATTACGTTTGGCAGCCGTCTTTTCAGCTTGGTCAGTATGCTTAAAGGTGGTATATCTTACCTACACTGAATGTTGATATAGATGGGTTAACAAGACATAGGAAAACTGTCAGTTACCTATCCAAATCAGAACGTTTGAGGTACATGAAGATTTCCTCATTTTTCTGAGCTGGTCTTATTGGGCTCCCTTGGAATCAGGTTGGGAGCCATCTTGGGTCATTTAATAATTTCTTCCAAAGACAATAACCTAGTGAGTTGTGAATACTGTCTTCGCTCAAAATACTGTAAAACATGTCTTTTTCGCGAGCATGTCTTGTTCGCGAATTTAACGAGAGAACTGATTCGCTAATTCAAAATGTCGATAATGACTTTATTATCAATTCAAAAAAAAAAAAAAAAAAAAAAAAAAAAAACGGGACCCTCTCAGTGCCCTATCCCCCTAGCTTATAAATAAGTGTGAGCATATCCTGTCCGACTGACAGCAG